GCTGACTCCATCCATTAATGTAATATCCTGTCGAGGAGGAACCCCATACCTACAAAGCTTAATAAGGAATAGTATGTGTGTGCATTAGAGAGCTCACACTGCGATCTGGCCACATGCCATAATGCCTGAGAGAGAAAGAGAGAGGTTGGTGGGGAAAGAATTCCCTTCTTTTTCCCATACTCTCTCTCACACACACAAACTCTAACAAAGGAAAGGTTTGATCTACCTGTAAAAGAAAAGCTGGTCTGATCCTCTGTAACAGGTATGACCTTCACTGAAACACAAGCTGGATGTGCTATAATGAGACACCAGTAGCATTTTCACAGCTGAGTATTTGATGTATGGACATACATAGAGATAGCGCTAGTAAAGTTATGACCAATAAATGGCCGAAAGTACATTTTATACTATTTTGATTGAAGAGTTTAAATATAAAACACAATAAAATGTAAATGATACAAGCAAATTTAATCTCTCTCTCTCACATAACTGCATTATACATTACTATCAACAGCTCAAGCCTCCGTTACTAAATCTAAAATTATGTTTTGGAATTAGCAACGGAGACGTTGGAAGAGATGCATAAAAAATGAATCCTACTCACAAGCGTTTTAAGAACAAACAGCGGAGTCCAGGACAACTAGATGTGCCCCAGAGACATCCCCAGCGAAGACCTCGTCATCTAGATCAGGGGTTCCCAAACTTTTCCATTCCATGACCCACCTAGACAAGTATAATCTATTTCATGACCTAGACAAGTATAATCTATTTCATGACCCACCAAAATATTTGAGAGAAAAAAAAACAATTGACATTACTTTATGCTTAATCTTAATTAAAAGTTTAATATGGCAGAAATTAAGTATTTAAGAAAAAATACATATTTTATTTTATAATACAACTGTAAAATTTCACTACTAATATTTAGGCTTGAATTTCTTCATTTACAGACATTAATGAGTCTATGAAACATAAAAACTTGAAACACGCTCACTCCGGTGCGGCTATGAACTGTAATCCTTAAACTCATCGCAGGGTTCAGCGCCGAAAATGCATGATCCTTCCGTGTGTATAGGGGAGAGCGGAGCACAACCAAACATTTTTTTTTTTAGCAAAACATAAGAAGCGAAGCAGAACCATCTAAAACAGTGAGAGATTAAACAGTGGAGATTAAAATAATTGTGAAACAATTGTAAAAATAATAAACAAATGTGTCTCATTTTAAATAAACACTAAAAACCGAGATGACAATTTTACTTCAGTCAGAAATGTACTTTTGCAATGGTTAAATAAATGATCAACATATCTTCAAAAGATTTTTGAATTTTGGCACATTTTTTGCGATGTATAGAGATGACACGGCAAGGAAATAATAGGAAATTTTGTTTAATTTTGTTATGTTAGCGTGTGGAAATGTTTAAATCTTGTAGTGTTACAATTAACCCTGCGTTTGTGCCCCACTCACTCCATACATGTGAAATGCTTTTTACAGACTATGCAATCTCATGCAGAATACAGCACAGTGAAGTGAGCGAGTTTCATCTCATTAATAATGTGGACCGATCGAGCCCTTTAATAATGACGTCGCTCTGAGACCTTCACTGTTATTACAACCCGTGTGCTCCCATGCTTCAAAACACACAACGCATGTTTTAAATTGCAGACTTAATTGCGATTCAAAAATCGAACTAAGAATATCGCAATTCGTAATTAATGTTGGTATATCGTGCAGCCCTAGACTGAACTGTGTGTGAGTGTGTGTGTCATTGAAACGCAAATTTAGCTGCAGCCAAGTGACTTTGTGCGACCCACCTTGTCCCACTCTGTGACCCACAGTTTGAAAACCCCTGATCTAGATGGCCATAGGCACAAGACCACGGGAACCAGATGAGTCCTCTGCACAATCTGACTTTGCTGCAGCCTGGAATTAACCTGCTGGTTCGTCTGGCCAGAGGAGAACTGCCCCCTCGACAGAGCCTGGTGTCTCCCAAAGTTTTTCCTCCATTTCTGTCACCGATGGAGTTTTGGTTCCTTGCCGCTGTCGCCTCTGGCTTGCTAAATTGGGGACACTTAATTTCCAGCGATATTGTTAACTAGATTGCACAGACACCATTTGAACTGAACTGAGCTGGACGATGACATCACGGAATCAATGATGAACTGACTTTAACTGAAATTGAGTGTTTACTGTTGTCCTTTTGTATTATCACACACTATTTTTCCTATTTAATACTGTAAAGCTGCTTTGACACAATCTGTATTGTTAAAAGCGCTACATAAATAAAGGTGACATGACACAGCTTCATTGTTACACACAGCTTATATACATATTATACAAGATATACATACATATATCTTACATAATTGGTAATAGACACCATGACTGATGATACCATGATACATCCATTTTGTTAAAAAAAAACACACACAAAAAAACAACATCCTCAACCATACAACATACCAAAACAAAATATACATTACCTTCGTTGTTTTTGTTTTCTTAGAAAAACTATACTATATATAGCAGTTTTTACATGACAGCAGAGTGGTCATGTTGTACACACACTTTCTCTTGCCCTGTGGCTTCATTGCATGTAATTTTTACTTTGACAGTCTAACCACGCTCATGCCTCCTTCCATCAATCAGTCGTCATGGTTACACGCCTTCTTTTGACATGCATCAGTGCAATACTGACAAACACACATACTGTATATGCACGCACATGCACACAGCAACACCTCCACACACACACACTTAAGTGTGTTTTTGGATGATTCCAATAAATCATGCCTACACTCTTAAAAATAAAGGTGCTTAAAAGGTTCTTCACAGCTATGCCATAGAAGAACCATTTTTGGTTCCACAAAGAACCATTCAGTCAAAGGTTTTTTAAAGAACCATCTCTTTCTTACCTTTTTATAATCTGAAGAACCTTCTTTCACCACAAAGAACCGTTTGTGAAACAGAAAGGTTCTTCAGATGTTAAAGGTTCTTTATGGAACCATTTAGACAGAAAAGGTTATTCTATGGCATCGTGGAGCACCTTATTTTTAAGAGTGTAACAGCAATATCCCTTTACTTGGTGGAAATATCGATACCCAAAAAATAGTTCACAAGTTCAAGATACAAGTGTGTTTTTCACATGCCCTTGAAGAAGAAGAAAAAAGCTTCTGGAGAAACAGGTGACTACTTTCGCATTTTAAGATATCTGTTTATGACAAATTCTTCATGAGTTGAGGCAACTCTGAGTGCCTAAAAATCATATTATGGAATTATAAATATGAAAACTGTGAATGCAAGCATGTATGCTATTATAAATAAATAAGATGACTGTGATGGACCAGTATGATAAGAACATCTACTACTTGGCAAAAGCACAGTAAGCAAACAGAACAATTAGCCCAGTGGTTTTCGATCCTGTTCCTTGGGACCCACTGCTCTGCACATTTTGCATGTCTCCCTTATCTGACACGCTCATTTGAGTTCATGGAGCACTTTCCTAACGAGCTCATGATCTGAATCAGGTGTGTAAATTAGGGAGACATGCAAAATGTGCAGAGTAGGTCCCCAGGAACAAGTTTGAAAACCACTGAATTAGCCTACTATAGCCCATTCCTCTAAAGTTTACTGTACCATTTGTGTGCACAGGGATGAGATGTCTTCGCACCTTCATATTCACTTCAGAAAGGCCACAGCCATGTTAGATTCATTCATTCATTCACTGTTGGAAATTTGTCTCTGTGTGTAATTCTACCTCCAGAATTCACCCCTAGTTATGACTAATAAAACGCATCCATAAGCCAAACGTTCTGGATCCAGCACTAACGCACTGCCTGCGGGGTGAACATCAGGAAATGCTGCGACGAGCCTGGCCTTTTGCCAAAGGAATTAAACACGAGTCCGGGCCAAACCGCAGCAAAGGCTAAATAAACAGCGACCTGTGCCGCCTGACAGTAAAAGCACGTCTGATGAAGAGAACTCGTAAAAAGGACAGATGTTGTTTAAACAGAACAAATGTACCCTGCAGGTGAACGATTCACAGTTACGAGAAGCACGTCACTCCTGGGCTTTTGACGCACAATATGAGTTGGGTGAGAGACAATGCTCACCAAAATCAGTGACTGAAGCCTACAAACCAGGTTTCTGTCATGCCCAGGGGTTAAAGGGTTAAGGATTCTCACAGGGAACTTAATGGTTGCAGGCTCAAACCCCTCCAAAGGGCAATTCATGTGCTCTTTAGCAAAATTGGGATCTGTCCTTGCTATATGTGGAAAAGAGAATTAAATCCTACTATAAATGACAACAAATAATAATAACACATTTGGTGTAAATACTGATTGCTTTTTGTACCTAAATGTGCATATTAATATTAATATTATATTAGTAACAGTTGTATATAACTACTGATTACAATAACTATATTGTTAAAAAATCACAATAATTTACCCAATCATTTCTGTCATTTCTACTAAATTATATGAATTTTCAAAGTTTCAGCCTGATTTTCTTCATTAGTAATGTAAAAAAGTGCAAAGACATAATCGCAGCAGGCTGCACCACTTGATTTTACTCAGAAAAAAATTTAAGTTTAATGGCTGGTTTAAAGTTTTATTTTAGTGGAGTTATTTTTTGTGCTGTATCATTTTGCATCACTCACTCATTATCACAATTATTACTTGGTTCTCTAGCCTCGTCCTAAAGACTTTTGGGATGTTTACCCCTGATTTATACCATCAGCTCATTAGTACATGCTCCAAGACCTGAGCTGGGTGTTTCAAATAAGGGACACCTCCAAAATGAGCAGTACTTCAGGTCAAGGATTGAGAAGCAATGATCTATAGGAAGTGGACTCTAACAATAGTTCTCCAACACACACACAATCAATCAATCGTATGGAAGACAAGACAATAAGAAATTCTCTTAATAACAGAAGCTGAAGCCAAGTGAGCAGGAAGGAGGTTTCTGCTCTTTGTATAGAACAACAGATAACTCGGTTTACCTGGTCGTCTATTGTTGGGTGGTCGGTGTCCGGTAACCGGAGCACTGGCGCTGTGGCTTCATAGTGCGGCACCAGCCCCGTTGATGACACCTCATCTTTGTTCTTCAGGGATATTTCTCGTTTGAGCTCCGAGCGCAGGTCCAGGTAGCAGAAGAGCGTGACGAGGTGCAGAGAGAGCGAGAGAATGAATAAACTCAGGAAGATTTTGCAGTTGTTGCATTGGCTTTGGCACTCACATGCCGCCTGCGTGCGCTTGCGCTCCTCCGACTCCTTCGCCGGCTCGCGCTTCGGTACCATGGCTGCGTGCAGGTCAGTCAGCATTGCTTCTGCATACCGAACTTCCTCGTCCTCTCAGCGACTTTTGGCTTGGGCTGGTCGCGGTGAGCAAGCGCTTCTCTGCGGGCTCATCTGGCTTCCTGACCTCGGACTGCGAGGATTCAGGCTGATAACCTACTACGGCCAGCTCCAGAGACCGACCCCTAGCAGCTGATTGGCTGCCGGCGTGACGTCACCTCATTGAAAATCCTCCCGCGGAAAAGCGCGACGCCACTATGACATTCATCAAGACGCAAACAAATATAAACCACTGTAGCGCTAACAATAGCATCAGACGTTCGCTGCCGATTACACAATATTTCCCATTTCGTAACCCCTGAAAGGAACCACCTGTAAAAAAAAAAGTTAGCTGGTGAAGTCGAGAGTTTCCTAATTCGTCTCCACATAAGGGGTTTTCAAACTTCACACACCTAGTGCATACTTACATTGTAAATAACTGGCATCATTAGGCTACATTATATAGGCTAATTCTTAAAAAAAATAATTTGTTATTATAAAAATATCTTGAAACTCCTGTCTGGAGATCCATAAGAGACCCACAATGACCCCTAGAAAACCCTGGATCTAAAAATAAAAAAAACCCCAAAACTTTCTTGTCAACCTTTCCCTAGCCACATGTTTGTACATTAGGCTTACTCAGTGTGTGCATGTGTGAGCGTCCAAGCGTGTGAAGTTCCACATCTTTAAAGTGTTAGAACAGATGACTGGTAGTGTAATTGTGGCATATGTTGAGAATCAGAGCAGACTGAGTGTTAAAAGCGGGACAGGACTGCCAATCAAATAAAAACATCAAATGACACACATGCACAAAAACACACATGTTGTTTTTCAAACAACAAAATCATACACATACATGCTCTCCAGCTTACACGCATTTATTATACTTGTCAAGCGCCAAAGCACACACCATATTACTTGAACTCAAAAATACAGTTATTTATTACTATGACAAAACTCTTCTGCTGCATGTTGAGTGAGGCGAGAACGAGAGGTTTCTATGGAAAACACTAATTTGGTCAGCTTTCTTTCTCTGGCAGTTTTTGCAGACCCGTAACTCTCATCCAATATTGTGAGGGGAAAAAAACGGTGAAAGGAGGGAAATTGATAGAAACTGGTAGAAAAAGGAGAATTAAAGGCAGGATGGATAACTTGTTTATAGCTTTCGTTAATTTTTTTTTACTAGCAGTAGGCTATCATAACCTGAGTCAGCATTACTGCATACTAGGTAAAGTATACAATAGAGCTCAGTGTGTAATTCAGAAAAAGACATCTAGCCCAAGAAGTTTTGGTTATGCTATCTGACCCCTCTCTCCTTCTCTTCCTCTGTTCTCGCTCCACTCACAGCTGTGCTCTGTGTACTGCAGATCTTCTGTGACCTCATAAAGCTGAGCCTCTTTAATATGGTTTGATATTAAATCTGTGCCGCTTTTATTCGGCTCCAGACTCTTTAATCTTAAATCACTTAAATATTCACAGCTACACTGCTGCTGAATCGATTCAGCGCCACACACACATGCACACGGTCTAGCTGTCTCACACTAAGGCGATGTCCTCTGACAATTCATGATGGATCTCTAAACGCAGACATTACTAAATAATGCAATAAAAACATCATTACAATAGCTCAACCCACCCAGAAAGTCTAGAATGAGTTCTAAAAACACGCACACGCATAAACAAACAAGCGCACGCGAACGTGCAGCAAAAACATTGGCCAAAAACACTCGAAGGCGCACACAAACAACACACAAATGCACTAAACCAAAAAAGCAAAGCTGCGGGTTGAATATACAGGTATGGGTCTGAGAACCCTTGGGCAGTTGAAATTAAATTATACAAATTAACTTAACAGAGAAGCCAGCCCATGAGCCCAGAGGCTGGAATCAGAGTGCTAAGAGTTTAAGAAAACGGTAATCACACACACACACACACACACAAACAATTGTTTTTTATGCTTTATGGGGACTCTCCATAGGCGTAATGGTTTTTATACTGTACGTACCGTATTTTCTATCGCCCTACCAACCCTACACCTAAACCTACCCCTCGCAAGAAACTTTCTGCATTTTTAGATTTTCAAAAAAACTCATTCTGAATGAGTTTGAAAATGTCCTCATAAATCACCTTTTTGTTGTAATACCTATGTCATACCCATGTTATTATACAAATTTGTGTCCTCATACACCACATAAGCATGGACACACACACACACACACATAGAGAGAGGGAGAGAGATGCAGACGGAACTGGAAACTGAATGTTCTAGGTTTAGGAACAATTATTATGTGTAAATTCAGTAGCTTATACAAAATTCAGCAAACAATAACAATATAGTCATGAAGACGTCCTAAAGTTAAATTGATTAAATTAAGCTTTGTGTGAATAGCTAGGCCTATTATTTTTACTACAGTCAGGAAGTGATATGTACAGTATGAAGAAAAGATACTTGTCAGAAGGCAGTGAAGTGGGTAAATGATAATGATAAATGTGCAAGATACAAGATACCTGCATTCAAACCCAACACACTCACGAGAACACACTGCCCCCTACTGGCTAAAATCGTATCATACAGGCCTATCTAGGATATGCACTGACATAGTTGAAGGGTAAATAATGTAATAGGAAAATTATATACGTCTGAATGATGTAATAATTTTAAACTTGTTTTCATGTTGTTATTGGGGAGTTCGTAGAACTGTGACAGACCACATGGAGTAAATTTGTAACGTTTCCGAAGTTTTTCCCACAGTATTTTTTCAATTAGTGCACTGCAAGTTGTTTTGGAAGCAAAGCATATGCTAAATGGTAACTACCAAAAGCCCCCTTAACAGCCCCCAAACATCAAGACCAACATAAAACCCATGAGTAAATGTGAGAGGCGTTAATAGGTTTTGGCTACAGCAGTGTGTGAAAGCCTTTAGAAAGAGAAAGAGTTATGAAGGGAGCACAAAACAGAAAATAACACTTAAGGAAGCACACAAAACATGTCATAGAAAATGCCAGCAGAAACCACCCTAAATTCAAATTCAACCACCTTTTCTCCTGTAGCCAGTGTAGACACATGGACAGGAGGACACAAAGTGTCCAGAAACATAAACCCTATATACTGTATATATAAGAATCTTAAATATGAAAAATGTCTCCAATAGTGTTGGTTTTATTAGAGGAGAAATGTAACAAGGTCATCCATTCATTCGGTTTTGTTTCCAAGAATGTTGTCTAAAACAAAACAAGATTGTCATTCAAGAGCCGTGTTTTAACATGTGCAATTAGTCCTCATAAACAAACGAAAAAAACACTGAAAAACAGTTAAAAACATTCATTCACTCACTCACTCACTTCACACAAACATGCATGCTCATATCAAGCCAGATGTTCCAACCCTCAAAAAGACAGGCACAGGCGCTTCAGCGGTGGTGAGACTTTCTGTGTTTTCCAGGCATTTGGTAAGGTTCGTCTCATGCACAGCAGACAAAAACACTTTCACAGAATGTGAGTCTTCCAATAAAGAGGGAGATGTTCCAGTCTCTTACTCCTCCCTCATGGGAACGTCTTCTAGAGGTACTATTGCCTCCAAAGAGCCAGTGCTGCAATGCTGCAATGTTGTTATGGAGATAACGGTGTGTAGTAAGAAGAGAACAAGCACACACAGTTTCAATTTACTGCCATGAAGACGATTTGTACATGACACCGCTCCTGATGATAACCTCCTATGCAAAGAGAAGGAGCCAGGGAGTCGTGTCAGAGCACATGCGGCGCCTACAGTGGAGTCACACCCACTCCATCTGACATCACAGCAGTCTGGACCCTGACTGGTCAAATACTCCTCGTGAAACCCTGATGAGAATGAGAGAAACACTGGGTTAGAACTGGACAAAACACTGTACCGAGAGCGTCAACACATTTTAGTGAATCGAAGACAAACATTTCTGCCTGAACATTTACGAATCAGTTGGAGCAGTTTCTTGATTAATCCGATTTACTCACTGAACAGCAGGTCATTCATTTCGTCATGTCCAACACTATTTTAGTATTATTTATATACTAGTTGATTGTAAAACTAATGACATTATTTACTGTCTTTACATTTATTTTGAAAGATGAAGCTCGCGATTATGGTAAGGGGCGTTACATTTCCGACGAGTGCTTGCGGTGTTCGGCCAATCACAATGCACTGGGTCAGCTGGCCAATCAGAGCAGGCTGCGCTTGTCGGAAGGAGGGACTTTGTAGAAAACTATGTGTTTGAGAGAGGCTGGGCATAGAGGACCTACAATGTACAGTATTTGAAAAATAATGTGTTTTTTGAACATGAAAGCATGTCAACATATTCTGTTACACCAAATACACAAAATAAGTGACCTCTAAATCTATAATATGACCTCTTTAAACTATTTTAGTTATAAGTTGCTAAGCCCACATTTCTGATTTTCATTTAAGCTTTTCATCTAATATTTAAATTTTATTTTTTTCAATTAACAAATATGATTTTATTAGTTTTAGTTAACAATAACAAAACTGCATGAACTAATAAATGATACTGAAGGCTTTTGTGACCTTAAACAGTGTAGAAGTTTAGTCAGACAGATTATGAATTTTATCAGTTAACTGTCTAATAATAATAATAATGTCTAATATAGCCAAAAATATGTGTAATTCCAGTTATTTCTGTGTGGATGAATGTTCTTAAGAATTGTACTTTCAATTTCAACGTCTAAAGAATGTCCCTTTTTATTTCAGCATAGCAATGAGCCTGTGCACACAACGAGGTCTGTGTAGAATTGGTTTACTGAGTCTGGTGCGGAAGGACTTGACTGGCTTGCACAAAGTCTAGACCTGAACCCCACTGAATACCTTTGGTATGAACTCTCTGTTCCAATTCATCCCAAAGCTGTTCAGCGGGATTTGTGCAGGCCAGACTGTTGCAACAAAGTTGGAAGAAACCAATTCAGTACAGTTACTGCAACAGCCAACCCTGATGATTAGAAGGGGCTGCACATATAACGCTGGGCCATATAGTGTATGTATTCTGTGATTTACCTGCACAGAGAAAGCTTGGCAGACCGGCATACAGCAGATGGTCATTGTCAGGTAGGATGAAG